CCATGCTCTTGCAAGATGCTAGATGGGACTTGAATTGTCAGCATTTCACAGCAGTGGAGGAGGGAAAAAACATCTCAACTACACTGAATTTACATGGACACATACAAAAACCCGTTTTCCTGAGATTTCAATCCATTCCACCAAATTAGGAATTCAGAAAAGCACCTCAAATTTTGTACTTACCTGAGCAAGGTCTCCAGACCCCTGCCACACATCACAAATTTTGTCATCAAATTGATTCAAGTAAACAGTGACTGATTTGGTCTATTGTTCTTTGGAGTATTAAATTTTTTTCTTGATTGCAAATCAGGTATAAATGATGGCTGGTAAACACTTGAGAGTGCTGATTTACCGGTTCATTGGTGACTGAAAACATGGCCCAAAGGCTTCTCTTGCAAACTTTTAGAGTGCAACTATTATTTATTAACTACTCKAGCACTCCTTTGTAAGTGAGTAAAAGATCAAGTAGTTAGTTCAGCGGACTATATTTAAACCTACTAAACCGAGCACAAGCACTGCACCTGATCCACTATTGCCACACAGAAATGGTTTGGGGCAAAGGGATTCACTTCTGACAAATASATCCCTTCTAGTTCTAACCACAGAAATATCTCCACAACTTCCATTTACTTTCTTAGATACCATCAAACCYTGCTTCATCTGAACTACTAAATCCCTTTCTAATAACTGCTCCTCCCAGGTTCCTCTATGCTCATTCTATATAATAACAAGGCTTAATACTACAGAAAGGGGAAAAATAACCCCAAACACTCTTTCCAAGTGCCTCTCCATGTCCAAACTCTCACAAGGTCTCATTTTACCAAAAAATGTATACTTATGAAGAAAACAACAAAATTACCTTTAGATCTATATTCCCTCCCCACATTCAACACAGAGACCCTTTGTAACAAACAGGTTTTCTGAAGGGAAGGTATTGTRTCATTTTCCAATTGCAGTGCAATCAATCACTTGAAACTTTTTTTTTTGCTTGTTTCATTAGATGCTTATCTGTCTGAAATGACAAGAAGGTACTGCTGGCTACTTTCTCCAGTCTCAAATCTGATATTTGTACCAGCAGTAAGGGAAGGAGACAGASAGTGTAGAACTGTACTTTCCCATCCATGTGCAAACCTTACCACAGTTACCTAATTTCCCTGAAATATATAACARCATATTTTCTAAGTTCACTGCTAAGCATCTGATGGGAACAAATGAAAGCTACTATTTGGACCAACTTGTCATAATTATTTCTAGACGCTAACACATTCCACCAAATATTCCTACAGTAGTGCCATATAAACACGGATGAAATACGCAGAGCAGGCATCGTTATCACTCATATTTTGCAGTGATGCCATGTGAAAATGCAGGAGTGTAGACATTGCCCTCTCCCAAACCTTTCTCTCCCATCCTTTACAGGATTCCTGTGCTTTTACATCAGCTGATAAAACAACTTTTAATCATCTGCRTTGGCATATGAAGGCACACAGTACATTTTGGGCCTACATTTTTGGCAACACATCCTAAAATTTAGCAACAGCCAAGSCTTTGATTCATAGACCATAAGATCAAAAATAACCACATAGATACTTTCAGCTTTTAATCCAATATCTCATCTAATCTGCACATAAAACAGTTCAAAGAATATGTCTTGCCCACTTCCCTTAGCAAAACAGACAATGGCGACATACCAAGACTGGTTAAATATTTCTGCTGCCTACCCTTATATTTTTCTGCCCTTAGTTTTGGGACTGGCAGAACCTCARGAACTCAGAATTTTGTATTTTATGGAGAAATACACAGTAAACATAAATGAMGAATAATAAATATCTAGGGATTTTTTTTTCCTCTAAATCCTTAACTAAGTAATTMTGTAAAACACATTTTGCATAGAGTAAAATGACACTTTTTATCCATTAATTATGTTCACTTTTCACCATATACTTTACCATCAGGAGGAATCTCACAATAGAACAGCACAGACTTTTTCCTAAGCAAAACCAACATATGCACTATTTTAAAATCATATAAAGAATACCAGAGCAGAGAAACGGTTCAAAGAGGAGACTCTTTCTCTGGCAGAGAACTGACCAGACAGTAAGTTAAATCCACKGATCATCTTAAAAAATTCTCCAATTATGGATGCATGTCTGAGCTTTGCCCACAGTGTTTACATGACCTCCAATGAAAATCCTGAACTACAGCCAATATTCACTGCAAGCATAAACAACTGTGAAAAAACACACAGGAAAAGCTTTGTCAAGTTTGCAGCCCACAACTGCATACAGTGGGAATTGATGGAGCCTTTGCAATACAAATAGTGCCCCAAATCAGTTCTCCACACAGAGAAAGTTGTCAGTGATAAGGGACACATGTAAGGCACGTTCTTTTAAAAACCTGACTCCCATTAAGCGGCTYATTGTTCATAAAGGGAATGGTGTTTACACAGGAAAAAGTCCACTTTCAAYAAATCTGAAATCCAACAGATGTTTCCTTCTATCTAAGCAAAACAAGTTTGTGAGCCATTTCTGCCCAGTCAGAAAGCTTTGAAATTATTTCTGTAGGAAAGAAAACCCCTCCGTATTTGAGAGAATGGTCTTGGAAAACAAATTCAATAAAACTCATATTTCAAAATTGCAACTATTACTGAAGTGAATTAACTTTAAAAAAATCAGTGTTCTTTAAATATAGATCTGGATTTGAAGAGATACAACATAATAATTTTGGTTTGTGCTGGAAAGAGAAAGTAGTGCAGAATGTTAACTCACAAGGGCTCTGCATTGCAATTTCTCTCCTCAAATTAATTTAACCTCTCTTCTCCAGACCTCCTGCAACACCCCTCCAAAACTTCTGGCTGCTCTTGGTTTCCTCAAACCGCATAAGACTTCTCTTCCTCTGAAAAGAGCAAATAAATAACAGAAGTGGTTGAGCAGAATATAAAAGGTAGATATTTTTCTTTTGTTTTACAGTACACACTAATCATACAGCAAGCCTAAGCACTTTGTAGAAGCGTAGAAGAAAAAGAATTTCAGGCTTTGCCAAAGTTGTGCAGTTGAGACTGTGCTGTTACACACCTGACTTTGAGTCACCATCCCAAGAAAGTTTCAGGACTTTCAGGATGTACCTGCTGGCATTACACCACTGCAGAGCAAAGCTGGGACTGGTGACATTGTGTTGCACAACTGAATGCTGCAAAGACAGCATMTTCCAATGAGCTGGTGCATTTTCTGTACCCAGCAATACCTTGCACCAGAAGATGAACTGAGATGGACCCCAGGCTGTTGAGGATTTTACCAATTTTTCATACCTTTTATAAAATGCAGCTGCAGAGATCAAATAAATTACATTAACAGCTAGATATAAACGTCAAAGGCAAAGCTAAAAGAGTCTTAAACATGAGTACAAGAACTGTAATTGGCACATGCAACCTTCTGTGCCCATCTTCACCACCACAAGTCCCTTCTTAGATTTCACTCTAGTTGTTTCTTGTCTGGCTATTGGGTGAGCACTACACAAAGTTCCTATCTCTGTAATGTTTTATGTGCAGCCCACTCAGCATCAAGGTTCCTTATCCCAGCCAAAGCCTCTGCATGCCCTGAGAACAATACAGCAAGAAGGCMGGACTGAAACCTCTCAGCAATGCAATGCACCATTGTTACTACCAACATGRATATCAGCAATGTGAAGGAGATCCACTGAGATGCAGTCAAAATCTGCCTATCAATTACAGCAGAAGGTAGAAGTGGTTTTCTCTCTCCCCTGGTAATCCTATTTGTCCTTTAAATAGATCTTAAGTATAATCTCAAACTGTCAGCATTTCTGTAAAGAAACACCAGCTCAGACTTAATTGGATTTGTCAGACAATCACAGCTAAACAGTTCTAGCAGCTGAACAGCTATGGGAGAACCTTTCACATTTTAATGTGTAAGAATAGGAAAGTTCATTTCAGGAGGGAAAATTTCCTCTGAAAGTAAGTGGTAAAAAGCCATAATTTGTCTCACAGAACCCGGTGCCTGAGCAGATGTGGTGTGGCATAGCTAAGGTAGTGTGAGCTGCTCCATATGGACAATTATCTGCAGTTAACTGTTCAGTCATTGTYACTTTGGGCTACTCTGCATTCACCACAATCGCTGAAGGTTTGCCTGGGCAAACTTGCTTGTGTTTAAGACTTTTTATTACTTGTAAGAAAATGGGGGTAAAAAAATCACAGAAAAGTCTGACTTGAGCATGGAACAGTAGCATTTGGAAATAAAAGAAGTATATATTATAATCACAAATAAATAAAAAGTATAGTAGAATATGTATTTTAGCTGAAGAGAACACTTCTTGCTCCTCCGGACTTTTTGTGTCACCTGCAAAAAAAGTGTATATATATATATATATATACACACATATATATATCTATGTATATATATATATATATGTGTGTGTGTGTGTATATATATATATATATATGTGTACACACAAAACTTGCTGTGTCATCAGTTTTTGTTCTGTTTAGGTTTTTATGTGCTGGAATGGTGCATTTTTAAAGACAATTTAGGGGATAATGGCCTAAAGGCCACATTGTCCTCATCATTTGAAGAATATAGAGATAGAATATATTAGAATGATGTAGAGGTTGCATATTCAGCAAGTATAATAAGTCTTAAAATACTTCCAATGCCTTCAAATTATTATTTCTTTAGAGAAGATCTGRATTATTTCTTATGTAGCTGGATCCAGAAGAAAAGTTATTATACAGATTTTATGCTGAAAATTGAAGTGATGTTCATTCCCCTATTAAAATAACAGTCATACAGATTTTAACATTAGTATTTAGAATATCAACTTAAGCACTCAGCAATGTTATTTTCTGTATTTGTAGAGTTGGCAGCCAGAATGGATATGACTGAGGAATAAAAGTAAACTTTGCACCAAATTGCAGCCCACGCTTTGACCTGGGGCAAAAGTGAATTGAGATAAGGTTTTGATAAGTCAGGAGTTCCACATTCTCCTACCTGTCGGCTTATCCACACCAAGGAATCCAGCCTGCCCCAGGATTTTAAACACYTTATGTGCTGGGAACTGTCCTTCTTCTTCCCACTTGTCCACAAAGGGATTAATCTCCTTGTCAATGATCTAGATTTGGAAAATAAATTGTACGAGTTATTAAGACAGACATCCTACACAAACACTTTTGAGTATTTCCACCTAAAAATTGTAATTTTAGAAGAAAAAAAAAAAAAACCAATGCACAGGGAAAATTTTGAAAGCCCACTAATTTTCTATCTTCTTATTTGATACCCTTACTCTCCACTCACCCACAACTATTACAACAACTATAATGAGGCAAACATAAATAATTCTTTTAGCAATTACTATTTGAACAGGCCATCAGGGCTGCTTTAAGCCTCTCCAAGGTCTACAGAAATGGCAGGGTTCTCCCACCATTTGTTGCCTTTTTGGGTACAGTTACTAGAAAGTGATAGGAAGAGAAACCTGGATTGTCCTCAGAGGAACCTTGAAAATAAAAAGTTGATGATCTGTTCTCAAAGACCACATGTAGCACCCAGAAAGGCAAGTAGAAGAGATTCATTTCCTCTCCCTTTTCCTGAAACACTCTCAAGGAAGTGCTGTTTGGGGCATTTATGTCTAGTCTGTATTTAGACTTCCCTGCAAGTCTGACAGAGCTTGTACTGGAAAAATGTGAACTTCTTCCAGAATTTATAATTTTCCCAGATCTAGTCCCCAGGCAAATCTAGGCTGTGACAGTGCTACTGCTGCACACCTTCCAAAAGTTGATGTCCTGAGCTGCCTGACCACAGTCCTGACACTACTCAGGCTGCTGTGCCCCCTTCCAGCCTTTGCCAGCCAAGCCCTTCTGGAGTACAGCCCTTACATCAGCAAAACTTTCAGGATTCAGAGCACAAGAGTTGGATGTTTCGCTCCATGAAGTCCCAGATTTCCACAGCCATGGGGAAGGAGCAGGGTGTGTTTTTGCTGCCCACCAGGCCAGCATGGGGCAGTTCCATCGTGCCCAGCTCTGCAGCCCAAACAAAGGATGGGCACAGGCTGCTTCTGCCATGCAGCCAAATGCATCACACACCTTGTTGAAGAYGCTCCAAATGGGAAACATCCTTTCCCCAAACTAAGCCCTACCAAAATAAACACCGCTTCCCAATAGAAAGGTAATGCCTTTRACCTGTGATGATGATTTCACTGCTATACTATTTCACAAAGAGTGAATTTTTTATTTCAAGGACTTGCCCCTCTTAGTCTTCTCTTCCCTCTAAATAAACAAGTCCTGTAGTGCTAACTATTTCTTGAGCTGGAAATAGAATCCTCTCCCTCATAGACTGCTGTGTGCTTGAGACCCCACGGAACCTTCTTCCAAACTATCTATTTATTGCACATTCTTTGGAGAATTTCAGACCATATATGGCTGCTTTCTGCCTTCCAGYTGGCCACAGAAATAATCATACTTGTTTGCTGGTAACAGAAAAATCACTTTTTCACTTCTCTCACCAAATTCTGAGAATTTCATACACTGAATGTTCAGTTCATTCAGTAATTATTATCTCTCTCCCTCTCTTAAATTGATTAACATAGGCCTAATGATCAACAGTGATGAAACACTTGTCAGAACTGTATCTGGGAGAGCTCATGTTTCACTTCTATATTGACATATTCTAAATGCTCAGATCCCAAGACATTGACCTTCAAAGCTGAAGGTGGTGAAACACCTTTTTGGCTGTAACAACACCTGGCAATGCTCGATGGAYAACACCCAGGGGAATGCCTGAAAGAGGTCATGAAATAGATACAAAATGTTATTCCAGTGTTTTGATGAATCCTGGCAAAAATATGTGGCGAATATACTAACAGAGTTTTGTGATTGCTGTAGCTGGTGCTAGGCCAAGTGTTTTGCAGCCTACACACAAAGTTAGCTTTGAAGTTAAACAGACTCTGAAGGATAAAGCCTTGATTTCTGAAGGTTACAGGCTGTTTGCTCTGTGCCTTTGAGTAAAACTCAAATTGCTTAACTGAGCTGACTAATTATCAGGTGAGGGTTGCCATGCAGAGTAAAACAGATCTGCCTTCCAGGACACAACAAAAAAATACCAAAGACATCCTCACTGCAGAGACCACAAATGGTGTAYAAACTCAAGAAACAAACCCCAATACCACAGTCCAACTACTGATAGGTACAGTTTCTTCTTCGCTATTGGACCATCCACTATGTTTCCTCAAAGATTTAAATAAATCTTATCAAAAGCTTTTCCACTTCGTTCATAAATTGCTTGGAAAAAATCAGACATGTTATTTTATAATTATATGGGGATTAGGGTAACACCTTCCCTTCTACTACCACATACAAACATAAGCCAAATTGCTGGAAAACTKCAGTGTGCTCAACTAGCTGGTGCTTCAGCACTGATTACTGGGTATTGTCATCCCTTCCTGGAAAAGCTAACTGAAACAAGGAGAGGCATTTTCAAAAGGCCAAGCCAGCAATGACAGAATGTTCACAAGCAAATACACAACATTTGCTTAAAAGCTTGCTAAAGACAGGTCAAATAATGCTTTATACCTAAATYTGATCTGTCCCTTCCCTTGGCCTTGGCAATTTCCTCACATTTGTACCCCCAGGAAAATATTTTACACTTGAACTKCAGACACATATTATGTAGGCACCTTAACTGAAACCACAAGGTAGAGATTCAGCATTTGGCAAATACACAGAAATGAGCTTTCAACAGTGTATGAACAGTTGGTCTGCTTATTTATATAYGCTTTATCATGAGAAACATGGAAATCATGGGTGCCAGCACTCAGACTTGCATCACATACCCACTATAACAAGATCTAAAACCTCTATCAGTAGAAATATTTAGCACTGTATAAAACAGATGCCATATGATAGATATTCCTAGACACAAAGGAAATCTTCCCACCTGGTCCAACTTGCAAAATCTCAATGGCATTTGGGATGTAAAGTTGATTAAGAAGACATAAATTTTGCACCTGCTGAAGTGCAAACAAAAAACAAACAACAGAAACTGTTATTTTCCTGACAGCAAGAGCACAGTAAGTTCATGTATGGGACTGATGTTTTTTTCAGGCTACTTCATCTGAACACTGGAGATTCAAGCCTAAAGGACTAGGCTCTGGAGGCAGCCTTGCATCCCAGCAAGAGCCCRGGCTGCTCTCTGGGGAGCCTCCAAAAGAATGGCCCCAGGGCTGTTATCAGCTGTGAATTATTAAAAAAAAAAAAAACCCTGTGGATACTTGCCCAGTCGGAAACAGATGAAGCCAACAAACTCACTTCATGTTGAATGATGGTAAGAAAAATTAGTGTTTTCATTTGAAATTGTCTTGAAAAAGTTTTGTGCAAACAGCATCTGTATCTTCCTGCCCAGGATGGGGGAAATGCCATGGCAAGGTTGAAGAGAGGACAGAGATATAAATTCAGATTTAAAAAAAAAAAAATAGATAGTTCTAATTTGCCTTCAGAAACAAGCAATGAAAATATCCCCCAAAGTCATTGCCATAGTTTTGACTATTTTGCACTGAAAAGTAGCATATTATTTAAATGAGAAAAGTAATAAAAATACACGATGCTTAGTATTTTGTGCTGATATTGTACCAGCAGCTACCCAGAAACATTAGCAATTGCCATTTAATTCTGCATTCTGAAATAAATGTATTCTACAACAGTAGAAACTGGAATTGAATTGGATTTTGGGTACATGAGAGCATGTACAGATGTCCTTCAYAGCAATTAAAGTTATTTTTCATTTCTCACCAGCATGTTTACCTTCTRTCATGCAATTCAGAAATCAAAGGCCACACCACTTCTGCACACAATACTCTTCCTAGTACCCCTTATAAGACTGAAATGCGGCAGAATATTTCAGCACTCTATAAGCAACATGATGTCTCCTGAAACAATAAATTGAATTCTTTAAAAATGACACAAATTTTTAAAGCTTCCTGTGAGTTATACCTCAGCTGAGATTAGACTAATTCACTAGAGTTGCAAGAGAAAATATCTGAGRAAAAGGTATTTTGTATCATGATTAAATGGAATCTGTGGAGCCAGGATTGGATTAGATTAGATTAGATATTAGGAAGGAGTTCTTTACTCAGAGGGTGGTAAAACACTGGAAGAMGTTGCCCAGAAAAGTTGTGGATGCCCTGTCCCTGCAAGTGTTCAGCCCAGGTTGGATGCAGCCCTGAGCAGCCTGACCTAGTGACCAGCACCCCTCTCCATGGCACAGGGGTTGAAAATAAATTATTTTTAAGCTCCTTCCAACCTGGCCATTCTATGATTATAGAACTCTACAATTTTGTGACATAGTTTATGTTAGGAGCATTTTGTTTTCCCTTTAAATCACGYTACTGTAATTGAACTTAGCTCTTTTAATATTAATAACAAAAGATGACACAGTTAATAAGATCTTTATTGTAAAAAGCAAATAAATAGGCAACAAACCACTAATGACAGTTCTTGAGTGGTTGTACCCAGATATTAGTGCAACAATGACTTGAAAATGAGTAACAGACAGAAGACTCTTTTGTCTTCCATACCAGCAATAAATAAAGCAAAAAATCACAGCCTTCAAAACAACATTTCTCCTTTAGTTTTAATCAAAACCACAAGCAATGACTGCACAGTGAGAACACAGTAGCAACACTGTGCTGAGGTCAAGGTAGCAATTTAGAAAGATGCAAGGCAAACCTGAGGTGGTCAAACCCATGGGCCCCATGTGGATGCTACCAAACCTGGACACCAAATCCCACTCCAGGGGTGCAGGGCAGCCAGAACCCCACTGGTGAGCTCCTGCCTGGCTCCCAGAATGGTGGTGGTGAGCCTGGAGCTGACATGGTCTGTGCCCCAACAGGAGAGGCGATCATTCCGTGTGAGGTGACATCGGGGGCAGAAGCAGAGGCACTGTGTGACTTAAAACACCACAACAGGCTAAAAATAACCCCATTAAACAAATATTATTTAATCACACAGCAGCCAGAAAAGGTTCCCTGCACTGCCAACCTKGCCTGCTCACACAAAATTATTTAGTGCACTTTCTTCTGGCAAGGGAAATGCAGCATGATGAGATAGCCTGTGGRGTGCAGTG